ATTATACTGAGACTGCTTGTTATTATCCCACAGGCCACTGAGGCTCTGGTAATTTTAGTCTTATGTCTCTGTGCTTAAATTTGATCATTTCTATTGTCATGCCTTCATGTTTATTAATCTTACAGAGTCCACTCTTATGTCAAGGCAATCTAGTGAAATTTTTTCAGATACCCTATTCTTTGGCTTTATAAATTCCATTTGTTCATTTTTTAGTTACCCATATTGTTTCTTGCTACTGTTTATATTTTCCTTTACGTCTTTGAAAATATTTGTAATATATAATATGTAAAAATCACTGCTTAGAGTATTTGCTAATTCCATTACCTTTCTCATTTCTGGGTCAATTCCTACCAACTGATTTGCAGCTTTTTCACATTGCTAGTAATTTTAATGATATGCCAGACATTAGGAATGTTAACTGGAGTGTCAGGATTGTGTTGTCTTCCTTTAGAGATGTTGATACCTGTGAGAACATCCTGTGCCTGTTTGACCCTGGGCACTGCATTACTTGTAGAGCAGCTGATCCTTCAGAGGTCTAAAGCTTAGTCGGGTAGAAATAGAGCAGCCTTTACTACGAGGCTGGCTTGGCCTTTACACTATAGAATTACTTTTCTGGGGTCTTTACTAATGCTCTCTGTGTTTAATGAGGGCTGTCTAGCATGGATGGAAGGGATCTCTACACATACCCCAACACTGCCTATGCTCTGGGATTGTTCAACCCACAGCACACCCATGGGAGCTGCCTTCTGGAATTTCACCCGGAAAATATGCAGATGAGCATGGAGCCGAGACGGCTCATCCTTTTGTTTTTCATGTATCTCATATTTGTATGCTTACATTTTAGTATATAGAAGGGGCTTTGAATTGATTGAAATAAATTTTCAAGCAAATATATACTTTAAAATCCACCTTTTGTTAGTCCTGTATTCCCTTTAACAAAACAAAAAGAAAATCACTTCATAATGTAAATTTGAACACTATTCCTTTTTGCAAAACCTGTGGGGGGTGGTAAGAAAAGAGAATCTCTTGTTTACCTTGGCAACATTCAAATTAAAGCATCTCTTTGAATTAAATCATCAGAAAGTTATAAAAGCAGTCAAGCTGATATTGTGGGCAATCGGCTACTGTTTAATTTGCAATTACATGCACAATTTAGAAACCACTTTAGGATAATTCACCCTCTGGAGTATTGCTAACATAGCTTCCAGAAAACACAACTCAAGGAGGGAAAAATATCACATGGAGTAAGTTGATGTGAAATAAGAGCCTTAAACTTAGGTTGTTAATCTCCTGAATTGAGAAAAGTAGTCTGTTTCATAATTCGGAACATATAGATATAATGTGTTTTCCCCAAGTAATACTTTATGTCTGGAATTTGCAAATAAAAGTGAATGCAGTCAGGCTTTGGAACCATTAAGTGCTTTATGCTCTACTATAGGTCAACCAAGGAATCTTAAAACACACACACACACACACACACACACACACACACACACACACACCCTGGTCGGTGTGCTCAATGGTTAGAGTGTCTCACTTCCCAGTCAAGGGCATGTACCTGGGTTGCAGTTTGCTACCAGCACCTGCCACCCTCCCACCCCCCATGTATGCGGGAGGCAACCAGTCCATGTGTCTCTCTCAAAGGGATGTTTCTCTCTCTCCCTCTCTCCCACCTCCCTTTCATTCTCTTTGAAAAGCAATGAAAAAAATAACCTCAGGTGAGGATTAAAAAAACAGCAAACCGAAGTGAAAACACACCCGTCTTTTCTATTTCTGACAACACAGATGAGTTACTCATTCATGTTTACTGTATTTATTGCAACCAACAACCTTTCAGTAAAAGCTTAATTATAGGTGTGTTTGACAAATGGTTATACAGTTATGAAATGTGAAGATGGTGAACATAGGAGCTTATTTATCAGAAAGGGATATGCAGAAGTATGGACTAAAGTGCAGAAATAATTTTTAAATTTTAAGAAAAGGATGTTGTAATCTACTAAATACTGAACTTAAAGTGAATATATAACCTACTGTCCAGGAAAATGCCTTCTGACCTTGTGATCTAGAACAGTCACTGAAAAACAATAGATATTCAGAAACATGATTTTTTTTTTTCATACAGCAATTCTGATTGAGGCGTAACAGAGAAGCACAGGACCCAGTCCTGGTAACAGCATCAAAGAGCATGCCAGAAACCCCTAAGTGTAATCAAGAAAGCTTTATTTTTCCAAAATAATAATGTTTAAAGTATACAAAGAATTCCCATTAAAGCGACGCCATCTGGAACACCTTCTGTTTAGAGCTTTTTAGAGCAAAAATGCTCTGTATGTGGAAAATATTATTGCAGTATTTTTCTGTCTAAAGGCATTCATGCTCTGCATATAGAGAAAATGACCGTGAAGATTACAATATATATCTAAATAGTGACTCTATTCAGTGCATGATTATCAATTTATGAACTGTTCCAGTTCAGAGGGTTCTTTCTCCTCCTTGCCTTTAAGGAACATTAATATATTTTATCACTTTAATCAAAGGTAGACAAGGACAAGGGGAAAATGTGAAATTAATTCATTAAATTTACTTATGATTTCCTATTCCGGTTCTAGCAGTTACTAGCAAAAAAAAAAAAGTTTAAAACTTACAGCTGGTTGGTTTCTCGCTCTTTCAATTATTCACTATCTCTATATGTCATCAACATGAGTAATTGGAAGTTGTTTTATTTCCTAAAGCCACAATTTTATCTGTCATTGACAAGTCTAACACAATCTACTTTAACACGCGTTATTTCCCAAGGGCTAATAGATCACAAGAGAGATGAGAGAGAGGGCACTGCCATGAAATCCTCTTATTTGGACATGACATTAAAACAGCTCTTAAGCAATCACGCCTATAATTAATGGGCTTGTTTGAGTGGAGGGAGAGAAGTATATATTCCCTATCTGGCTAATGACACAACCATTCGTAAAGTCACCCAGGCCAAAAGCTCAGGAGTCACCTTACCTCCTAGTTTACAGGAACTGAACACCATCAGACTGGTGTCTCTCTCAACATCCTACCACCAAATCTAGAAAGCTACCCACATCAAAACCACTCATCAATTCCTGTTCTCCTTCTGTTATAATTATTCTCTTGTCCTCTCTTATACCTTTCATCTCTCTCTTTTTTTTTTAAGAAAAGGATCATAAAACTTTAACCAACATAGAATAAGCTGTATTTCTGAAACTATAATTATTAAACATCAGTCTTATCTCTATGGTTTCAAAGATTGGTCGAGACAAAAAAAAAATTCTCTTATGGCCATGTGAGAGAGGATCCACTGGAATTTGAGACGAAGGTCACCATATTAGAAATCATTTATCTTCAGACAAATATTTGAATCACAAACTATTTTGAAATTTTGGGTTATGACCAAAGTCTGTACTATCTGGGCCCTTTTCTTACTTTTAAAATTGAAAACCATCATCACTCAAAACTCAATATACAAAATCTGGTGGGTTTTTCTGGTGAAAAGTTGATTTAACTTGTTGGGACTACAATTTGGGAAAAAAACCCCAAAACCTCTATGTTCTTAGGTGGCTAACAAATGTATATGTAATCCCATAACAAAACATGGCACACTACTGAATAAACCTGAACCTTCCTGAATTAAAATTTTTATAAGCCTTCATGCTTGAATTCTAAATTGTTGACTCCTTTGTGTCTCTTTCCCATCCAAATTTAAAGCTGGACAATTCCAAGCCATCTAAAAACAAAGGGCACACACATTCCCTTTCTAGGTCAAATCCCTTCTACTTCGATAATCCTACTAAGCTCCAGTTTCCTTGACAAACTAACCTCACTAACTGTTTCTGTGTACTCGGTTCCTAGCCTGCACCTAACCCGGTTTCTGCTCTCTCACCTCTGCGCTTCTCAAAGTCAGCAGGTGCAGTCCGCACCACTTACTCAGGGAGTATCTGTCCTCATCAGGCAGCACCGGACGCTTCTGACTCTTCCTTCCTTCTTGAAATGCTCTTTCTAGTTTTTGTGACTCTCTCTTGGTTTCTGGATTCACTCCCTGGGTAAACCAGCTTAATATTCCAGGATAGCTACTCCTCCTGACAACTGCCCTGCCTCCAAAATGATATGCATTCACCAAGGCTCCATCACGTTACATATAATGACCTGTAAGGCCCTACAGAATCTGGCCCAGGAGTATCTCTGAAATCATTACTTCCCACTCTCCTGTTCATTCAGATCTCCCCAGTAGCTTCCTTGTGGACCTTGAAAATGCCAAGCACAATGCACTAGGGTCTTCAGAATAGCCTTGACCTGATGCCTGGAACATTATGAAGACTGCTGCATGGTTTGCTTCTTCACTTTATGCAGAAGATGCCTACCCTTACCCCTACCTAAAACAGAACACTCTCCATCAGCCGCTCTCTTTACTTCAGTTTGCTTTAAGCCAGTTAAAATTTATGGACACAATAAAATGTAATTTTCTTTTCTGCTTCTCTTCTGTTCCCCACATTAGTGTGCATGCTTCATGAAGGCAGGGACCATGTCTATTTTATTCATCACCATATCCTCAACAGTTACCTGATGCACAGTAGATGATTTGTATTTATTGAAAAAAAGTGAATAAATTAGCTATGCATGAATCACATGCAAAAATACTTCAGGATATTATTTATTCCTCACATATCTAAACTGAAAATATATTTACAACTACCAAAGTGCTTCCAAATGCTTAAGTGTGAATGTCCCAAAGGCATCTAGGTCTACAGAAAATTATAATAACTAGTGTTACTGAGTTTCTCATAGCAATTACAAAAAATATGTAAGCTTCACTCATATACTCTTTCTACTGAAGAGTATATAAATATATATATATAGACACACACACACAATTCATAAACTGTCTAGCAGGCTATAAAATCATGGATTCTCCCCCAAGGAGATAAACAGAATATCCCACTCCCTAGTTATTAAAGAGTCAAAGACAAAAACAAAAACGCACTTACCTCCCTTTCTCTACCAAGAGCAAAATATCCACTTTTTCCCCATTTTGAACCATTGTGCTGATAGCTAGAGGGAGAAGAGAAAAACATCAACACATTTCTTAAGAACGTTTTACTAAATACCCACTAAATACACATAAAGACACAATTATTAATACTCCTTAGTCATATATTTTGGAGTGAGTCCTCATATAATTTTATGTAAAAGATGCTATTAACATATGCAATAAAAATTGTGTCCAAAATATAAGATGGGGACAAAAAAATCTTACTTAGCTCTTGCAGTCTTCTTAAGTTCATTCTATCTTCCTGAACTTCCTGCGTTTGAAGGCAAAAACACAAACTAGACTTGTCCATAGCAAACCAGCCTTTTTTCCACTGATCCAGGGCATGGCAGTCTTTGTAGTAGAGTTGACCAATCAAATCATAATTAGCTTGTGTTAAGTTTTCAGCAAAAAAGGGAACAAATTGCTGTTAAAACAAATACAGAAAAGTAAGAAAGAGAGTGAATATAGGAAATCCCTTCCTTACCTGCAGATATGAGGAAAGGTAGGAAAATTATTTTTGATTTTCTATCTTAAAGATTTAAAAGTAACCTAAATTTCAGAATTTTTCAGAACTTTTTTAACTTGCTCTCAATCTTAAAAGTGAACAGCTATTAACACAGTTTCAAGCGGCAACATCTTAAACCATTTTTCTCCATAAATATAGAATTGAAAGAGAAAGACATTCTCTCTGTTGATGTGTGCTACTTTCCAAAATGTCAGCCTTCACTGTCTTCATTTGCATCTTTTACTGAATCTGCCATTTCCCCTTTGTGTATACCATGAGTAAGATAACTACTCATAAAAAGGCATTCACAGAAACGACTTTACAATGATGAAAAAAAATCTTAATCATCAAAACATGACCTTTATTTGAAGAATAATTTCCCCGGGGTCCGATATTAATTTCTTCTCTGCTTAGGGCTCTAGGAAGGTAGCCCTTAACCTCTTTGATTATAACCTTTGAAAACCTAATGAAGTATGGACATTCTTCCCAGAATCTTGTATAAATTTTCGTGGACCTCTAAAGCTCAACCATAGTCCCCAAGTTGAGAAACTTCTCTGGGTTTAGGGGAATAATGCAATCTTTAAATACCTTAGCTATTGCCTCTGTCCATCTTCTTTGGGCTTGAAATGTTTCAGCTCCGAATAAAAATGCACGTTCTGAGGGCAAATAGATCTCAAAGGTGAAGATGGGCCTATGGCACACACGAATAAAACGATACTGCCAGTTATGCTTGGCTCTTATGAAAACAAATCACATGAATGTCAAGTTTTTTTCATTAAATGCATTCTGAAAACTGGATAATGCTGTGAAATCAATCTCTCACAGTTTTCTGCTGATGGTATGTATTTTATTCAAATGAGTAAATGTGAATGTCAGCTCCTTCCTATAGATAAAATCAGAGTAACATCCCTTTATCCTGAATTCTTCCCGTGGTTTCTCATCCACAACTTAAACTATTTCATGGAACATGCTAAGCGTGTATGCTATTACCTAAAGACCTCAAAATACCCTATATCATATAGTTATCTTCCTTTTTCCTCCTTTTTACCCAAAGCCTGTTATATATCCTTCATGTTCCAATTTACCTCATCAATAAGCTCAAAACCATCTCGTTTAATTTATTCTTCCCTTTACCGTCAGTTTTTCATCTGGTTAATCAGACGTTTAATCTTATCAGATCAATCGTAATATCTCTCAACCCACTTTTTTAATCATCTCTTCCTCTAGTTAAACTCTCGGTAATTAGGATCCCTCTTCCTCTAAACTCTTCCTTACCACTGTAGCCAGCTTTCTCCCAAAACTGCTTAACCCTCAGAGCCTACATTACTGAGTTTAAACTCTGTAATATGCTACTTACAGCAATTCAGAATCTGGCTGCTTTCTCCTGAACATCTATTTGTATCAATATCATTCTACCAAGAATGTTTTATTTTTAAATAACTATATGCTGACATAAACTCATGTTATTTTAAATTATATTTTATTTACTAATTAAGTATCTTAATGCACTGAATGCACTTATTTTAACATTCCACAATAAGACGCAGTAAACTGATAATTCACTTAGGATAAAAGCTCTGTTAAATTAAAATAAAAACAAATCAACTAATAATCAAATTTGTTTGCATAAAAAATCAAACTAGATTTATTAGAAAACAACAGTCACCTCAACTAGAATATATTGATCATTACTTAATGTTTCATGTAATATCATATAATGGAAAAAGCTTTGCAAATCTCTTTTTTTTTATACAGAATTTTCATTAAATACTATGCTCCTTTATAGTTAACTTTTGCAGATTTGTTTTTTGTATTTTCTCATTAATTTCATCACAAAATGTGATGAGTAACTTCCACAACAAAGATCTTTGATGCTGTTTCTAAAAGTCCTCATGGAAATTTCTGTTTAACTAATCCGTGAGACGATATATTAAATAATGCTTACTTCTTAGAATTGCAACCTTTCTGAGACAATTAAAATGTCAAAGCAGATCTTTAAGAAATTTAGCACTTCCATATGTTACTATATATAATTAGTATTTTGCTGATATTAATATGAATAAATCATCAACAGATACTTTCCTGTGTCATCTATTCGAACCATGGTGCCTTAAACTGATGCATAAATTTTGCCCTTAGTCCACTACTTTAAATAATGAGTATGTCATAAAAATTATAGGACTATATGTCATGAAGGAATTACTATAAATTTACTTAAGATTAGATGCAAACATGTCAGCCTTTCATATTACCTAATGCAATATTTTAATTTTCTCTTTTTAGTGAATTCCCTAAGGAACTTTCAGAAGCTGCAAAATGAGTCGGCTTCAAGAATCCACTTAACCCTTCCACAATAAGCAATGGAAGAACCGAAATAACAAATGTCCTTAGAGCACAATGTCCTTAGAACACTTATTACCTGTATGACAGATACCAGACATGCTTCCACCTCCTGCCCGTGCAGTGACAGACCTACCCGGTGTTTATATAGAAGTCCTCTTTGTGCACAGCCAGGCAGATGACATCACTGATGTTAATGGTGCCATTGGGAGTGGTAGACTTGTCATTTTCATAGTAACTCAGGAAGCCTCCTTCCAAAACACACCACTTTTTATTTGTCTCTAAGAATTTAAAACAAAACAAACAATTGAACTGCATCATATTCTAATTTTTTAAAAAATACACGGTTTAAATAATGAGTGGATTCAAATAAATCTGCTAATTTTCTATTTTGTGTAAAGAGCATGCTCTTGGTTCATGGCATAAAAAGTTGTCATACTCTGCTCTCAAAATATTAATAATCTAGGAGCAAGGGCTATACAAGACAAAAATAGCTATGACATTGATGACCAGTGAATCAGGCAGAACCAAAAAGGACAGCTGCAAAAAACACTGAAACAGCAAAGACAGAGGTCCATATAGACTTGAAAAGTAAGACTATGGCTGACCTCAGGTGTGCAAAGGAAGAAGGGGTCTGAGCATGGAGTTCCCTTAATGCCTTAATTAGAAACTTAAATTCACCACTATGACCCGGAGGCCAAAAGGCCAAATCCAAGCCATCACTTGTTTCTGTAAGAAAGTGTCACTGAAATGCAGCCAGACCCACTCATTTACAGACTATCTGTGGCTGCTCTCGCGCTACAGGGGCAGATTTGAGTCCTGGCACAGACTACCTGGCCCACAAAGCTCAAAATACTACTTTTCAGAAGTCTGCTGAGTTTTGATTTGTAGTTGGTGGTGAGCCATTAAAATGTTTCAGCAGAGGATTATCATCAGATTTGAGTCTTGCACACTCTGCTCACTGTGAAAATGAATTTGAGAAGGTGAGGCCAGAGGCAGGAAACTAGTTAGGATAGTGTTGACAGAAGTCTATCTGCAAGATGAAAACAGCCCAAAGCGGGCCAGTGGGAGTGTAGTAGGGAGAAGAGAAAGAGAAAGAGAGAAGGGGAGGAGGGAGAGAGAAATGAGTACATGCATTGTGTTCTAAGGACACAAACATATATTGATTGGATGCATGAGGGGGAACTAATTAATGGTGACATTATTTTTAGCTTTGATTACAAAACAGACAGTGATATCTACCTTTACTTAAAAGAAAATATAGAGTTTTAGCGCATGTAATATAAATTTCCTTTTAGAGCACTGAATTAGAGATATCTTGGAAATCCAAGTAGAGATATATATTAGGTGATTACCCTATGGATTTGCATCTTGGAGCAAACAAAGATCTTGATAACTAGAAAGTCTATAGAATGTAGGTAGTATTTGAAAACATAAGTAACCAAGGAGACAATCTTAGGGAAATTAAAATTGTAAAGCGTTGTCAACTATACTTTAATTAAAAATAATAATTATATATATAGTAACAGATGTAGAGGGGTCCATGAAAGCAATGAAGCCAATGAGAAGAGACAGTGTGTAAGAGAGAAAAGGGGTAGAGTATTTAGAAAAGGAATGATTTCTGCTAATAAATAAGCAAAGAGATCTAATAAAATAAGGGCTGAAAAAATGTCAGTTGGTCCTCATAATAATGAGGTAATAAAGAGGATCTGTCTGTAGATCCAAACATTTCCTAATTTTGATCGTCGTACTGTGGATATTTCAGAGGGATGCCCTTATTTTGAAGAAATACAGACTGAGGTACCTAGGACTAAAGGGGCATCAAGTAATTCTGAGGATATGTATACCCATGAGTAACAGGTAAAATGCTAATATTTGGGATGTCTGCTGAAAGCTATATGGGAATTCTTTGTACTATACTTGCAACTTTTCTGTCGGTCTGAAATTATGTTACAATAATTAAAAATTAAAAGTTAAAGAAATATGTATTGCCATTCATTAAATTTCCTATATCATAGGTGGGGTAGTTTTGAGAAGTAGGACAAAAAAGAAAAATAAGAGTGTTTAGCCTCAAACACCGGCACAAGGAGAAACACTCCCAAGGTAGACCCCTGAGAGCTGTAGGATCACTGAATTCTGAGAAACTGACAGCCAAATGAAAAGCTGAATCATAACCAACAGAAGAAAACCGGCAGAAGACAGCACCAAGAATTTCTTTATGGGTCCTGGGAAAGAAGCTAACCAAGACCCAATCAATTCCTGATATACTGTTCCGGGGCCTCAAACTCTGAGTCACAGAGTATATATAACTCTGCACACTTACATGGAAGTCACAAAAGGCCATTATGTTTAAATGAGTATTTATTGTAGATTTCTAAAATATAAGAAAAACAAAAGTTAAAGAATTTATCAA